GAGACCTCTATTTTACCTAAAGCAGATCCGACTCCATTTTTCTCCGTTGCTCCCCCCTTGTGCCTTTTTACCCTTTATCATGATTCATAATTTTTAAGTTATTTTTTTGGTCTGATTCTCCCACTAGAATATAAGTTCCGTGAAGGCAAGAAAGACATGTTTGTCACTCAGAGCCTTGCTCATCACTAGTCTCAGTACCCAGCACTTGACAGGTGTCCAAGAAGTCTTTGATGAATAAATGTATGGTGGGCAAGTACCATCACCATCGGGGCATTTGTGATATGAAGATGGATGGGATACAGTCCTTGCTCTCAGAACTGTTTGGAATAACAGAACCGGAAACAGGGAGAATGCAATGAGATCAGGTCCTGATTGGTGGGGGTGGGCGGGTGGGAGGGTGTATTTTAGGGTCACCTAAACCAGGCCTAATCTCTGCTGGGCTTTTGCCACCAGCCATCTAGAGCCCAGGATAAACCTTTTGGCTGTCACTTAGGCCTGTACCCTGAGCGGCCCAGAAGCAGCAAGGGCGGAAAACTTATTCTGTAGAGTGAGTGCTCAGATGGGTACCTGGAACCATTACCCTTTCCAGTGAGGGAGGCTGTGCCCATTTCACAGTCAAGCTCATGCCCATCCAGTCCCCAGAGACAACCCCACACCTTGCAGCCTAGCCTCTGATCTTTTGCCTGGCCTTCTGCTTTAGAAGAGAACTTCTGCAGCAGTAAGGAAGGTAAAACCTGTCTACCCCCGGGGATTAGTGGGGTGATGGATGTCCTAGCCCGGTAGCCTTCATATCTAGAGGACAGGTGGGTTGTCCCACATGGCTCTGAGAAAGCTTGTGACTCAGAGAGCAAGTGGCTGACCTGCCTTCCTGTTCTGGACTAGGAAGGAACCCATCAGGAAGAGGAGGAAGGAAGCCAGTTGAGGATCCCCTTCTTTGAAGAGAGTTCACAGTCCCTGCAGGCTCTCCTGGGAGGGGAAGCTCACCCCTAAATCCATTTTCTCGCTACAGTGGGGCAAGATGGCTGCTGTTGCTGCTTCTCAAAGCTCACAACAAGGAAAAGGCCTTTTCTTTCCTCCTCTCCCCCTTCCAGATTCATCCCTCCTCCCCCCCAGGGGTCAGAAAAGTAGGCTCCAGTTCCCAGCAGCCTGAACCTTCCCTCCAGATGGGAGGCTTCACAGCTAAATGCTGAGCCTACCCTAAGCCTATAAACCTGCTTCCCTGGTTGGCCTGTCAGAAGTTAGCCAGAGTCCTTCAGAGTTTCCTCTCATCATTCAATACCTGCAGCCAAGGCTGACCATGCCTCTGCCCACGGTGTTTAATCCACCAAGGAATAATCAAAATGACTCATGAACACCTCCTGAGGATCCACCCAGCACCTTTAGTTCTGATTCCCCATTCTTCCCCCAGGGGTGCCTGGGTTGGGAAAGATCTCCAACTTTATTTAGAGAGGTTAAGTAATTTGCCCAAGGTCACACGGTGGGAAAGTGGCAAAACAAAATGAAAGGAAATACACACAAAAACTTGTGCCTCCTGCCCAGCAGTTTGGCAAGTGCTCAAATCATCTTTGTGGAAAGGGTGAAATGTGTTGTTATTCCTTCATTTCACCGGCCTGTGGGCGAGGGGATTGTGTCAGGGGGAGGAAAGCCGCTTCCCTTCTTAAACGAACCTCTGACCTCCTTAGTTCACTCTCACTTCCGAAGAAGTTACCAAATTTAACTCTAATCTCTCCGACTAGACCCTATGGTCCGTGTCTCTATTATCAGAGCAATGCCCCCATCCCCAAGAGCAAGGAAGAGTAACTCGAGTATTTTCCTTCTCGAGAGCAAAGACCAAAACCAAAACCCAAATCCAAATCCAAATCCAAATAAATAGCTTCACTTTCCCCCCAAAGACACAGCCCCCAAGCAAACCCCAAAGCGCCACCTGAGCCCTTGCGCGGCCCGCAGGCGCCCCGACACGCGCCACGCCACGCCACACTGCGTTAGGGAGGCGTCGGGGAGGGGGCGCGGAGCGCGGGCCGGGCGCGGCGGGGAGCCGGGGGGCGCCGGGCGCGCTGCCAGGCCGCTCCGCACCGCGGGGGCTGGCCGCCCCTCGCCACGTGGTGGTGGCAGCGGCGGGGTCCCGGGCGCCTTCCCAGCTGGAGAAACCCGGAGCAGCCGGGGAGGAGGAGGAGGCGGCGGCGGCGGCGGCGGC